AATTACACAATATTGTTTAGCAATTATACTATATTTATTTTTACTACTATCTGCATTCATAATATGCGAGGACATTTTATCTGATAATTAAAAACATATATTGGATTAATTCATTTCTTTAATTGTTATTTAAAATTAGAAAATAGTTTATAATTCTCATATAATATATTGATTAGAAGTTATTTTGATATTATTTTGATATTTGATATAATTAATCTATCAAAATATTTAAAATAAATATAATGTAAACGTAAAATTATTTTTTAATAAAAATGATAAAATTTGTTTTAAAAAAATTTTTTAAAAATTCGAAGAAATTTGTTAAAAACAATTATCATTAATATACTATGCTTATAATATAACCTAAGAAGTAACAATATCATTTTAATAATTATATTACTATATTTACCAAAGTAATTCTAATCTTTTATAATATATTATCTTAAGATAATGTAAATGATATTTTAAACATATTTCGTAAATAATAGATGTAAACTATAAACAAAATCTGAAACCTTTTGTTACTTGTAGATGACGTGATAAAGATTACAAACGCTAATTTTACAAAGAACGTTTTAGTTTTCAGATATTAAAATAAATAAATCTAATAAATTTAACGAAATGATTTAAGTTTTACTTTTCATTAGTTTTTTCTTATAATTTATAATTTATAATTTGTGAATTATTATTGTAAGAGTCTAAGACATTGATGTAGTATCTACATATATTAATCAGTTAACTATGAATAAGCTATCGATTTTTTTTAATCTAATTTATTCAAATTTTAATTACTCATTATTGTTATGTATATAATTTATATATTTATATCTATTATATCTATTTATATATATATATCTTTATATAATCTATATTTGATATTAAAAAATATAAATCTAAAAGTATAATTATATATTATATTATATATTTCTCTAATAATTTCTCTCCTCTTTTAATTTTATTTAATGCACAAAATATCGAATATTTATATTTAATAGTTACATATATAAAATGTCATACTTAAATCTTGCTTAAATGCAAGATTTATTATTATAAATACGAATTATTTTCTAATTATTTTTATATTTATTAACATATATAAAAATTGAAAAAATAAATTTTTATGAAAAGATTCTTTTTTAAAAAATTTTTAAAATATAATTTTTTTTCTTATTTTATTTAAAAAAATTTTTTAACTTAATTGTAATTTTATAATGAATATAATTAAAAACAAAAAAGTAAAATATTACACATTATTAATAATTATTAAAAATATATAATATTCAGAAAAATAAAAAATAAATCTATTGATAATTCTTTCTTACCGAATTTAAATTAATGAAATTAATGATTATAAAAAAATTAATGATTTAAAATATGTTGTAAAAGACATTTTAATTCTTCTTTTTATATATGATTCTTTTTTATATATAATCAATATTAGCTTTAGTTCTCAAATTAATTAATTAATTAATTAATTAATTTCGAATAAATTATTAATAAAATGATTTAAGAAATTGTTTTTTTGTTTCATCTTTTCATGAATTAGTTTTGAATAAAATAAAAAGTACAACTGTTTATGCTGCAATAGAAAAATTTATTCATTTAATTATTTTTAGAGATTCATTTTTTGTTTATAGTTTATAGTTTGTAATATACAAGGTATTTAATATACTTAGGACTTCTTTAGAGAGTCAATTCTACTAAAAAACCAATATTTTATCATAAACCAAAATAAATACAGAAATTGTTATATAAAAATCAATTAAGACTTATTTATTAAATTATAATATATATTATATATTATAATATATAATAAATAATTTATTATTAATAAATAATATATAATAAATAATTTAAGTTTACCTTAGATAAAGCAAGATAGAATGAAACAAAAATCTCTCTATTTCCAACCATTTTATCAAATGCAAACTCAAACTGTTTATAATTTATAAATAAATCTAAATATTAAATTATTATATTAATAGTAAAAATATTTTAAAAAATATATTTTTTTTAATCTTTAGAATCAATCTTCCAAATGTCCTATGAATATAAATATTTGATATTATTGTCAATTCTCAATATTTTATTTGAAATATTCTTCAATTCATAAACTCGTGAATTAGATAATAGACATAATGTTACAAGTTTTAAACATATATTTATTATTCATTTTTTTGTGATTCACACATTCACACAATTTTTAGAGCTTCTTAAATCTCATGTAATTTATACAAATTATTATCATTTTGAGCTGCATTCAGTAAAAATAATCTTATTTAAGCAATAATGAATGACACTCGACTTGTGCAAATCTGGAGGTATCAAAATATTTTCTTTAAGTTATAAGGAAAACGATATTTTTACTTTTCCTTTTTCAGGAGTATCTTTTAATTTTCTTTTTTTTCATTTGTTCTCAGTGTTTATCTCTTAACAACATACTAAATCTTTTTTTCTGTCTTACAACTGGAATTATTTAAGGCCGTCTTCTTTCGCAACATAGGAAACTGTGTTAAGTTTGATCTTTCATCATCAGTAACAAGACTATAATTGCTTGCACTTTGTGAAGCTGATTGATAACTATGTGAAACTTACAAACAGCGATCGTACCTAAAAAGTACAAAGTACAAGCAAGTATCGATGAATATAGAATCACATATAAAACATTGAATTAAATAGTATTATTTTTATGTAGTAGGACATCTTTGTTTGATTTTGATTTTTAAATATGTTATTTCAAAAATGAATTTAATTAACATATATTTCTATATTCAATCATACTTGCCATCATTGAATAAATTATTGACAAGAAAAGAAACAAAAATTTCTTAGAAAGCCATTCTTACACTTAATACAGATATCATTAGTTTTTACATATATAAGCTCATTATAGTTATAGAAATATTCTATCTTTTCCTTTTGCACAAATAATATAATGCGCAATTAATGGTTAATTTTCTGTGTGATATTCAATCCCTGTTTTTGACTTAAATCTATAAAGTTTGACTAGTATGCAATACTTTTATATAATAAATAAATATATATATATATATTTCCGTAAAAACTATTTGCGAATATCGCAATGTAATAAATTTAATCATATATAGTATCCATTATTATAACCTTCAACAAAGTAAATTTACTTTAAAACAAATTTTATGCAAAAAGAATCATATAAGAAAAAATTTAAAAAGCAACATTTTTTGTTCGCTGTTTTTACAAAATGTATACATTTTTTTTCACACATTCATTTAATTCATTTTTCTATTTTATTATTTTAAAAAACTTTCTAATCCTTTTTAAAAAGTAAAATATTATAAAAGAAGCCCTAAAGGGGAAGAGCATAAATATCTATTTTATTCATTTTGGTCATTTGACCCCGATTCTTTATATAATCAAGGTACAGTAAAAAAATGTTTTCATTCTTGTATGAAATAAAAGGCACCAAGTTTTGCCAAACATTTAGTTTGTTATATGAGTTTCTTTCTTTCAATCCAATATTGAAAAGTAGTATTATCTTATAATGGATTTAAACATTTATGCAATTATTCATTTTTTACACTTCAAAATATGTTCTGACTTGAGATTTTTCTTGGAAAATCAGATAATTTATATATTCTAACATAAAATTTTCAATTTTTATAAAATTGATGTGATTTTACAATGCCTACTTAAATCTACATATTAGTGATTTGCAATAAAAAATACATTTGCAGCATCAATCCTGTACCTAAACGAACTACATGTAATTCTCAATTTTGGAAGAAATAATATTTTGATATATTCATCCCAGATATTCATTAATCATTGTCATAAAAATACAGGCTTAATTTTATTTACATGCGTGTAGCATTTCCAAAAATGGTAAACTTAAAATGGTATTGTAATTCAAGTTTAGTAGATTGCAAGTATCACAAATGAATTTTTTATCTTACATAAATAATTTAGTAGAATTTTCTAATATTCATTATTAATTATAATAAGCAATACATATCAATTTAGTTAAAACTTTGTACTTGTCTCGAAAGATATGATACTAAGTATATTCGTTCGTATCAAAGTAAATATATATGTAACACGAAATGAAAATATATAAAATATGAAAAATTTAGAAATATAAAAAATTTTTTTGGAAACAAAACATAATAACGATTACAAAAGTTTTAATAAATCTGCAATAGGCAACAATTTATACTTTTTCGAAATACATTAAAATGCTTACAGAAATGAACATATCAAATTAAAATTGAGTCTCTTGGCATTGTATCTTAAATAATAATAGTGTATCTTCATTAATTCAACCGATTTTCATATTTAAAAAATAGCTGTAATATATAATTAAATTTATATATCATAAATGATGAAAAATGGTATTAATAAATACCGTACATAAAAAATATATTATGTATGTCTTCAATTTTTTGTAACAGTTTGCATATTTTGACATATTTTTGACATACTTTCCTAAAATAATATATATGTAACAAAAAATGTAACGTGAAATTTACAAATACACATTTGAAATTTAGTTACTTTTTACTACATAAATAAATGACTTGAGTGTCTACAAATACAAATCATTTATCGATACAAACTTCTTTTACATTTAAATATATTAAAATTATGTAATAAATGCGAAATATGTTTGAAGACACTCATAGTGTTTACTATTACAATTTGCATATTTTTTGTCTTTTTCATTAAATTTTAACAACTATGCAATTCTTTGTCCCACTATTCATATATATACATTAATATAAGAACCATAGTGTATATTCTATCAGTAAATTAAAACGATTACATTATACCATTTATTACATTTTACCATTTTTTTTGTCGCTGTTTTGTACTATTCGTTTAAAAATACTGAAAGAATATATATAGTGTAACACACACAGCGATCTCACAACAAAACCCTTTTATGTAGCTCAATGTATAATTAATAAATTACATTAAAAAATATGAATATTGGAAATTCTTAAAACTTGTATCGATTATACTATAGTGATCTAATTTGCGTTTGCTCCAGTAGGAATAATTATTATTTTTTTTTTTTTTTTTTTGACAATATCGTCGATAGAGAGAATCTGGTAAAATATTATTCAATTATTTGTGCAAAATGGAATTCGTCGATATGAATTACAGGAAAATGATTTTTCCCCATAAAAATGCTGTCTTTGCGACTTTTCTTTTGCACAAACTAATGTTTGTTATTTAAGCTTACCTGACTTGATTTTTGTGCAATATACTAAAAAATAAAAATATTTTAAATGATACGATATTCAAATCAATTCAAATAAACAATTGATAAATTTTTAATAATAATAATTTTTTTTTATATTTGAATTTTTTAAATTCACGAAGATTTTGAAAGAAAAGAAACTTATAAAATAATTGAAGAAAATAGTCAAGTAAGCTTTTGATATTGAATACTATAAGGGCATGATAAATTCATGGTCCCATATACATTTCAAAGATGTTTCGACTAGATAATACATTAATGTACTAACATCGTGCCAGCGATACCTTACAGTTGCATTATATGCATAATTGTGTTGAAATTTATTTTAAGAAATCATTAATTTTTTACTTTTTTTTTATCTATCGTTAGTTTTTGATAAGTAAAATCCAAAAATATCAATTTTAAATTCATGATAGTAAAAATTATTAATATTTAAACATAATCTTGATCGAAACTTAGGCATAAAAAAATAAAACTACAATAGAAATTGTAAATCCAATGTAAACAAAACTTAATTCCAAAATAAAAATTTAATTAGCAATTAATATGTCACTTGGAATGATTGCGAAAAGTTAAAAATTACATTATTTATTCCATTAATAAATTGACATAGATAATTTATTTTTTGTTATTTATACAGAATATTTTCACATTATTTAGTTTTTATTATCCAATTAAAAATGAAAATATCGAAAAATTATCAATCAATATGCTCGTAGTATAATGCTAATTTTCTATACTATCATGTCGATTATGTATATAATGAGTGACACTAAAGATATATAATTAAAAAAAATAGAATAATAAAGTATTATACTAATGAGTATTATATTAATTGATAATCGGCCAATATTCATATATAATTGAATAATAAAAATCGGATGGCAAAAACCAAACAATGTAAAAAAGATCGAACAATATATTTCATCTATATAATCATTTTATGACTCTTATTAAATGTATGATAATAACATTTTTTTAGAAGACATATAACTTTTGATACTATTCTAGTTAATTTTCATTTTCTTTAAAGTTAAAACTTTATTTATATATATAACTATAACTTTAAAATTAAAAATATTTTTGGATTCTATTTATCAAAAAGATAATTCTAATCGATAGATATAAAAATGAATAAAAAAATAATAATTTCCTAAAGTAGATTTCAACTCATGATTGCATTACATATTCTACATGTTATATCACACAAACTTACTTAGATTGTATACATCCTGGGCGTTCGTTATGCAAAAATCTTCTTTGTCAAAGTCATAATACAATAAGATCTCATCTTATATAAAATTATAATTTATAGGACTAGTGTATTAATAGGCCTGCATGCTCTTGTGCTAATGTCATTCTCAGGTGCTAATGGCTTATTTTCAAAACTAAAAGGCGTAGGCACGCAGTTAGCTTAGTTTCATACGTTTTGGTTGATTCGCGTTTGATGTATCTAAAGGGAAAATTTTAAAATTCTAAACTTTGTACAAATATAAAAAATTTCATTAATATAAAATAAATATAACTTACCTCCATTAGAAGTGGCACCAAATGCATTAATTAAAGAGCAATTTTGACTTTTCTGAAAGAAAATAACATTAATTATTAATTTAACAATTATTAAACATATCATATCTCTCATTTTTTGTTAAAAATACACACGTCTCCCATTACTGCAATTGGAGTTGTTCCTGTGGCAACTGCTACTTGATGTTCAATCAAATAAAACATATACTCATCATATAATAATCGAATTAAATGAAAAGACCCAAAACTAGCTGCACTTCTTAAAGTAAGATCACGGATAACCATGGAACTATCAAATGAAAAATTAAAAGATGATCAAAATAATAAGCAATTAATCATAATCTTCATATTTGGAATAATTACCTATAAAAGGACCATTTGAGCAAAAATTGTCGAGCAGCTTTTGCAAATGTTGGTTTTTCTTCAAATGGTTTAAGAACTTTCGTTACAACACTTTTCAACCAAATTGCCCAATCTTCTAATGAATTTTGTTGTTGTAGCGTTACTTTAAAATCTGCTTCGAGACGTTGTACCATTGCATAATCGCATTGACATACCCAAGAAGCCTATAAACAAACAAATTTTTCATAAAGAATCATTATTTTAAATTCTGCTTCGAGACATTGTATTATTGCATAATCGCACTGATATATCCAAGAAGCCTACGAACAAGCATAAATTTTTCATAAAGAATCATTATTTTAAATTAATAAATATATGTACCTGTTCTTGCACATTATGAAAATCAACACGATTTAAATCAGCTAGCATTTGATTTATTTGACTAGAATTCTGAAGCACTGCACGTGCAGCTTGAGCAAGATGATTTAATGATGTATAACGCCTTAATGTCTGAGCAAATGCAGATACAGCAGTCAACTAAAATAAAATATTTATTAAAATATATTTTTAAGTATAAATAAAATAAAATATATACCTTTATTTGAGTCATTTCTTCCGGACAATCAGCCATTGCTGATGTTAACCATGATTCTAATCCTTTTGCAAAATTTCGAATAGATTGTGTTAATGAACCTAAAAATTGTATTACAATTAGTATTGTAATGACATAATTAATAGACAATGAAATGATCAACTCACTTGGTATGGGTCGCAATACATTAGGCATTAATACTTCTACCAAATTTTGATAAAATGTATAATCAACTTTTCTTATGAAATCTTGAACTTCTGAACATTTACACATCTGATATAGCTTAGTCCTAAAAAAAACACAAAATATTAATAAATTTTTAATTATAAATTGTATTTTTAAAAATCAATATAATAATCTTACTTTGATAAATATTTTTCCTCTTCACATTCATCACCATTATTATTGTCTTGACTACGCCAAAATTCTCTCCAAAGACTTTCAACAGTAGCAAATTCAAAATTAAGAACAGCATCTAAAAAAGCTTCGCAATGTTCTCTGTATATGCTACGGAACGTATCAATATCTTCTAACGTACAATCTTCTGGAAGAGATGAACTGTGCCCAACTATTATTTCTGGAAATTCTGGAATGGCACCACTTGCCTCACCAAGATATTGGTGATATTGTGGCGGTGAATTATTCGAAGAAATGTTTGTATTTGAATGTGGATTATTTTCATATGTAGTATCCTGTTTTTGATTTACAAATTTGAATCGTTTCGTTTGTGAATTTGTATTTTGCTGTTGACGAGGTGTTCCATCTTCATTTAGCATAACCAAAGGAGAACTGGGTTTAACGCGAATTCCATAATAATGATATTTTGAATTTCCTCTATAAAAGATTTTATAGATTTTTAGAAATTTTTATAGAAATTTAATGATAATAATAATGATTAAAAATGTAAAATTTTTTACCTTGTGCCTAAGCGTCTGGTTCTTAAGCCCAAAAAAACGGAACGTATTAGTTTTCCAAAACTTGCAGCATTTACTGGATCTAATTTATTTTCAGAACAGTGACGTAAATAATGATTATAAAGAGTGGATCTTGGAAGAGAGACACCATCTGCTGTTTCATAATTTTCAAGCAACCAATGAACCTAATAGATAAAAATTATTATAAAAATTATTAACATTAAAATTATATTATTTGCAAATATTAGATATAATATTAAATTAGAACTAAAATTTCATAAAATTACATATAAAATTGTTTTGCTTAGGAAAAGCTCTCGAAAAGCAATGACGATTTGATTAATTCTGATAAATCAAAAATAATATAATAGATAATCATAAAAATAGACAGATAAAAATTTGAAAAAAAATTTTAATCTTATAAATAAGATTATAACAGCATTTTATACTGATAAATAAAAAAATAAAATATCAATGCTGTTCTAAAAAATTTCTTAACAATGAATAGTAGTGTATATAAGCACTGATAACATTTATATTAAAAAATATTTTTCTTGTTTTATTGTGAAACCAAATTTTGAGCTATAATAAAGCTTATATAAAAATGCACTTTTAAAAAAAGCAGTCTTATATATTATGATAAATTAGTGTTTAGTTTGCAAATAATTTAATATTTATTAGCTTACTGTTGCTTGAGAAACTCTAGTGGCATGTGTCATATTTGCAGCTGCTGTTGCAGCATCTTCCACGGTGACAGCAGTACTTCCTGAATTACCGCTGATCAAATATGCCCCTCCACCCCCGCTAACCACAGTTTCCTATCAAATAACCCAACATACTAATACCTTATTAAATCCAATTTTAAAAAATAATTTTATTATAAATTTTTATTCTATAATTTTCTTAAATGATCCATATTTCTATTGCAGATATAAAAAATATCTACAGAATCTGTATTGTTTTTAAGTATTTGCACAAATATAATAAAAAAATTAAGAGCAACAAAAACTATAAACATGCATTATTATTTTACCGCATTTTCCGTTTGTGGACTAGCACGTGCAGTAGCTGCAGATATTAACGCGTGTGCTGTTGGATCTCCATCTACAACACTTTGTTGAATAAGATATGTCCCATTACCTTGAGATAACAATTGACCAGTTGTAGAATTTGAACCTTGACCAGTAACCTAGATATAATAAAATATTTTCATCATTATGATTACAATTTATGATAATATTACAAAATATATAATAAGTTTATCGTTTTATTTATTGATTGAAACATAAGATTTTGTATAAATTATACTATACTTGAGCATATGTTACTGGAGTAGTTGCTGGTGTATAATATTGACTGGAAGCAGGAGTGTACATTGCTCCTGCCTCTCCAACAGCATATACAGGATATGTCCTATAAGTCATAAATTATATAAAATTTAATAGAACTGAAATGTAACATTGATATATTACATATTTGCCAAAGAAGATGAAACAATGTTTATATTCTTTCAAATAATATAAACAATAAGTTAAGAATAAGAATGAGAATATAAACATTGTTTTATCTTCTTATGAAAGATTACAAATAAATAGTAGTTACATCTGGCCATTTGTTGGTATATATGTGGAACCATCCCCTTCAACATATTGAACATAAGTAGGATGAGAAACCGACTCAGACCCCACAGCCTCTGGTTCACCAGACACTGAAACAAATATAATGTATTTCAATTTTTTTATATAGTTAACATGTTTCATATAAATTAAGTTTTTCAAAATATGCACAATACTTAAGAGTTATAGAATTATACCTTTCCAATTGCTAAAAAATATAAAATATCTAAACATACACTTGTATTTTTAAAATAAAATTTGATATCCAGATTTAATATTTGCTTTTTATTATTATCATACAAATAAAGAAGTATTAGAACATGCAAGATTAATAAGCACATAATAATAAATAATATGTAGCTATTTTATAAATAAATAGTATATTAATAACTAAAAATAATGCATGCTGATTATATTCTGCCCTCACCTACTGCCGTTGTGAGGGATGCGTAGGATGGTGAGTCACTGGTGCCTAGTGTAGTCAGAGTAGAAGAACAGAGGTGCATGTTTTTCAGCAGCATGGAAAGGGCCAAATCTCTACTCAAACACTATAATTTTTTTTCAAACTGATCCTGATACTCACCCCTAACATACTCAACTTATAAGGAGTGTCCCAATTTATTTTAATTTTCACATATCAATACTAATTTTTAAGACCAATTTTTTAGATTTGAATATTTTGTAAAAATATAATTGGCAACTTCAAAACTAATAGCTGAATGAAATGAAAATATGTTGAAATTATTTTTGACTTAAAACGTACCTGTTACTGTAATAAAATGTGGAGATCCACTGACAATGGTACCAGCAGACGTAGATGCAGCATCAGAATCAACGAGGGTATGCTGACCAGAATGGGTAGTATTCACTACTACTTGTGCTGTAACATGTGCTGGAGTACCTGTTGAGCCATTGGAAGAATCTGCAGCTGCTTCAAGTGGATCCTGAACCAATAACTAAATTATTATTTATAGTATGCATGTTCTCATGATCAACAATAAATTTCTGTATATAGCAAAAATATTTAGAAATCATTTTTTCATCTCAATTTGCTTATATCATTTTCAATCTCAAATTAATATATTTTAATAAAAATTATTTACATAAAATAATCATTAAATATTTTAAAAAGAAATCTTATTATAAAAAAAATTTATGAATACTATGTAATTTAACAAACCTGTATAGGTTGCAAATTGTTTGGGCTAGAAGGATCAGAACTAGTAACAACAGTGATAAGTTGCTGTCCCCTCGTAGATTGACTCTGTGCTGCATTACCACTGCCACTGGAGCTAGAAGTAGTCACGACAACAACGCTTGGCTTAGGTTCTACCCCCACTGTTGTAGAGTTACCCCCACTGTTATTAGCTCTAGTGGATGCTGCAAGGGCATACTGAGCTCCTGTCGTAGTCATGGCAATCACTCCTTCACCTCTTTCTATTCCCACTGTATCACTACCACTATTAGCTCCCCGTTTGTGAAAGGAAGTATCTATAACCAGATATATATATAGATATCAATAATGTATTTTAATAAATTCAACATAAAAAAAATTGCTATATTCTATTTATAAAGTATAATTATTAAAAATATAATTAATTGATAAATTAATAAAATTTAAAACAATAAATTTAAAACAATATTTTTATTAATTATCCATATATTTCAAGTTATCTCTAAAACTATTTTTTAATAATTTTTTAAATGTAAATAAATATTTATAATTGAAAACAAATTTTATATACATTTTTTATATAAATATATAATATAATATAATACAATGTGCAAGTATATATTGATTATTTTTTATATTGTAACAAATATAACAATCATTTAAATATCGAAAAAATAATACTATAATACAATTAATCATTTTTATTATGGTAAATTCAAGAATACATATTGTATATCAAAAATTTAATAAATAAAAAAGTTGAATGTGATTGAATGATGATATCGATTATTAGTCGTAGCAATAGATTAACAAACATCCTAACCTACATAAAAGACAGATTGTCTACGTAATTTTTCACAAGTGTGCAGCATTCAATAATTTACAGATCAAAGAGAAGCCTCAGAAAGCTTCCAATACGAATGAAACAAGATATATTGGTACATTCTGTACCTATAGGATGACAGGTACTAAACAATGTTTTAAAGGAAAAAAACGAAAGGGAAAGGGTTGGTGGCTAAAATGCAATATACGCATGGCTATATATATATAATTTTTGTCAAGAGGGTAGAAAGTATCAATAGGAAAACTCAAATATCATAAGTGCAATTAGAGACTATTAAATTTCTGTTTTACTTAATAGCAATAAATTTTATTAAATTAAGTTGTACATCCGGGAAAGAATGTACATTATAAAAAATAAAATATTATATTAAAAAAATATTAAAAAATTATATTAAATATTATATATAAAAAATAAAATATAAAAAGTGTTATTATAAAAAATTGTGTTTTATTAAAAATTATTTTAATTAGTTTTTTGCTTGTAAATATAATTTCAATATAAAATTCAATATAATATTTTATTTTATAAATAATAATTAATTTAAGAATAAATATATTGCAAATGTATTTTAGACCATTATTTTATTATTTAGACATATATACCCATATATACCCAATATTATATCATTCTAAAAAAATGATTAGAAAGCAGAATATATATATATGCATCTGGTCTCTGTTATGCATGACTGATGCTTGAAAGTACTATATATTTTATGTATTAATTACATTACATATTTTCTATATAAAAAAATAAAAAAATACATATTCTTTCACATTTTTTACAAATTCAAAATATAATATATTCACAATGTACAATATATATCTATAAAAATATTTACAAATTAAAAAGTTATTGTATTTGAAACTTAAAATTTCTTGTAATCATTATAGAAATTATATAAAAAATAAAAATAATTAAATAAATCTCTAAAATTATATATTTTGCAGCTATAATTTTTTTTATATCTTAAAAAATACATTGAATTAAATACATAGAATTGATAAACCTATTTTAATTAAATGTTATACAGATATATATTTTATATTTTATATTTATTATTTATTTATTTATATTTACTAATATATAAATAGATTGCATAAAAGATAAAAATTAAAAAAAAAGGAAAATAAAGCAAAAAATCTGCAATGATTTTCTATAAAAGAAATTAATTAATCTTAGAGAAAAATATTCAAATATATATTGTTTTAAGAAGTACAACATTTTTGAAAATATTAAATGTGTTAAATTATAATATAATCAAACATTAATTTAATAAAAATCTCTTTTTGTATAAATATCTAAATATATAAATATATAATATAGATATCTTATTTCAGTTATTTTTGTTAATATTCTTCAATAAATCTTCACATAAAAGAAAATTAAATATTAATGTATAAATGCTTATAATGTAAAAATATCAAGAAATTTAATTACAAAAAATTTTAAAATAATAATATTTGAAATTATTTGAATAGTTTAACATAGCATTTATCAATAATCAGTTATATCAATTGTCATTACACAAATATATATTAAGAATGATAAAATTAATATAATAAATCTGAGACGATATTAGAACATCGAATATCAGAATTGTATTTAGTACTAAAATTTTGTATGGAAAATCACAAAAACACGCGCATGAACAATTGTAATTAGAATGATAAGAAAGCGCGGTTCGTACATTTCTTTTTTACTCACCTGTCTTCATGAATGGCGTGTACTTTCAATACGACGCCCGGACGCACTTGCGCGACCGAACGTGTCTCCCTACGTATTTCAACCGAGCTTTTGCCGTTCAAGGAACCGCCGAACTTGTCACCCAGGAAACCATGCGACAGTAAAGGCACCGTAGAAGTGGAAAAGCGGAGCAGCACACTCCGACGAACCTGTATATTTTGTTGTCGACGGCTAGTCGGAGTGTTGGTTGTCTGCTGCTGCGGTCGCCTTGACTACGGCATCACTGCCCGCGTCACAATCAGTACCGTACCTAATTTTTATTTACTAGGGTGCGATAATTACGGTAGAAAATGAACAACAAAAGCACTTATATCATTATAATCTTTGAAAATGTTTCTTTCTTATTTTTCTAAATTTGTCAATTTTTATTACTCGATCAAAAGTGATTAATATATATATAATTGGCAACATATAATACATATATAAATTTATTTTCAAATAAATAAGATAATATTCATTCTTTAAAATATATTATTTTTTAATTAATTCAATTTTTTATTAAAGTTTCAATTAATTGAATTTTATAATGACGAATTAAATTAACATTTTAACAGATTACATTTTTTATAATAAATATTCATTATAAAAATGTGTAAAATTCAATATTTCAAATTAATAAATAATTATAATATTATGTAATGTTATTTTTAAAATCTGTTTATAGCGAAATATTAATAATAATCAAATTATATTTATTAAAATATATTTATATAGATTAATTTTGAAGCGGGTTCATAAAATTAATGATACGTTTGTGAATAAAGTCACGCGTGCCTTTTTTCATATTAACATATAAATATAAGATTAAATCACTAAAATCTATAATATTTGTTGAGATAAGATTTAATTGTAAATTTTTTTCTTAGAAAATATCTTATTCAAAAATAATAAATGTTATTCGTGAACAGAAGCTTATTATATATTATATATAGTAGTTGTGTGCATGCGCAAACGAATATGATAATGTACAGATTATAAGTATGATACTGACCAATTGCATTATAATATTTGCTTTGTTTTGATGAATTATTTAAATTAATCGTTGATTTTTAGCCAACTAAATATGAAATATATTAGATTTTTTCTAATTCTTTAATAATATGTCTGTAATTTATTTGAATCAATGACCCATATGAATATACCGCGCTTTTATGCGGCGCGTTGTTTAAAATTATCAAAAAAATTGTAAATTATTGATTATCTTGAAATTTAATATTTCATAAATATCATTAATATTTATTGTATATTATTGTATAAAAAATAAATAATGTATATGTTTTTTTAATTGATTAAATATATAATACTCAATGATTAGAATTATAGAATTAGAAAATTTTTAAATAATTAATAATATGCGTTAACGATTTAAATAATACATAAAACTTACTCGATAACAAATTTTGTGATCGGTAATAAATAATTGGTAATGAGGATTCTTCCGCCATCATAATGGAATATCTCTTGGAAAAAATGGAACTGTATTCATCCTCTTCTTGCCACTCCATACTTTCGCGAAGTCCACGCGAAAGTTTCTAAGTTTTAATCGCGGGAAAAACTTTCGATTGTATCCCGAGATACGGTTTCCACGGGTGCAAATTATTTGCTCTTTATTCCAGAATATCGTAAACTTTTTTCAACTACGTTTTATAACAACCAAAGATCGAATTATAGTTCTTCAATTGCAGAGAACAATATACAACTCTTTTTAAAAAGTTTAATAAAAAAGGCGGGTAAATTATAATACTCGCGAATTGTAATTGTAATTTAACTAATGATTAGTTTAATTTATGCAAATTATTTATATTTAAAAGTTTTAAGAGTTTTTGAAATATGATCAATGTGCGTATCATATTCATGTTTTATCTAATGCTGCGCATGTAACGCAGTGCTGGTACAGTTCTTTATACTTGATAATTTAAAGATGATGACTTCTTCAGAAATTGAAGTGGAAAATTTGACTGAGAAAAATGCAGAAGAATCTGCAATTTTAGAAGTAAGCACAATAGCAGTCGGCGGTGTTATTAAACAGGAGAATCGTGATGTCGATTTTCTTTCAAATTGTAGTACCTCCATCGAAGGTTCCGTGGTAAGAATATAACCTGTAATTTTTGACAATTATTACATGTATATATTGCAAAAATAAAAGTCACGAATTTCGCATAAAATTTCATTATTTATTAATTATTTTAATTTTTTATATATTATATATATAATATTTTAACATTATTTCATTTAATTTATAATTTAATTTTTAGATAGCTTCTCCTTCCATTGACAGTTTTTCTACTTTGCCAGAGCAAGAAATATCAGATTTTCAAATAGATTCTAAAGATTCTAGAGATTTACAAGTAAAAGTAGACAATCCTCAAAAACATCTTGAAACTCTTGAAACTTATATTACTTTTCGTATAACAACAAAAGTAAGTTTCATTTTAAATATTTATTTATAAGTATATATGCATCAATAATAATAAAATTTTTGTAATGTTTCAGTCTACAAGACAAGAATTTGAGGAAGGAGAATATATTGTTAGGAGACGTTATAATGATTTTATTTGGTTAAGACAAAAATTAGTAAATTCATATCCTACACATATTATACCAGTGAGACATTATTTTATATTAATCTTATACTTTTTTGTTTATTCTTAGAATAATTTTTATGAATTTATTTTATTATATTATTTTATATTATTATATAACTTATAAAAATTCATTGCACATTATTATTATTATTATTAATATTATTATTATTATTACAGCCAATGCCTGGAAAACACACATTACTTGCTCAATTAGATCGTTATTCCAAAGAATTTATTATAGCACGCATGAAATTATTACATATATTTCTTAACAGAGTTATAAATCATCCAATTCTTAGCTATGACAAAAATTTATACATCTTTTTGACTACTAAACCTGCAGTAAGAATATTTTTTATAATTTCTTTATTTAATATATAATATATAATTTAATATATTTTTGGATATATTTATACTTATATTTTTTTAGGAGTTTCTTGTACATCGCAAAAATCGTGGAAATGTTCTTATTAAAATGACTGATTCTCTGCAAAATATAGCAAGTACATATACTATGAAACAATGCCATTTTGAATTTGAGCAAATTCGAGATTATTGTATAGCTCTTAATGAAAAATTAATAACTATAGATAAGATAAATAATCGTATACATAAGGAAAGGCAAGGTATTATAAATCATAAGTATCATTATTATTTTTTTAGTATAAATTCTATTAAATATTATATATATATGTCTAGATTATTTGTTAGAATTACACCAATTACATCCAATTTTTACTTTATGGGCAACTTCTGAGCCAGAATTAGCTTCTTTTCTAATGGCAATTGCTAAAGCAATAGAATGCAATGCAATGGCTCATCAAAAACTTTTAGAAAGCACTCCAAATGAAGAACGAGAATATATTTCTTATGTAGATGCAGTTAAAAGTGCTTTATCCCGACGTGATTCAATGCAAATTGAATATGAAATAACTGTTGAAGAATTGGCAAAAAAGAGATTAGAAAAGGATCAGGTGCGTTTTAA